TATTTTTATCTCCATGTCTACCCCATTTCTTTTTTTTTTTTTTTTTAAAGAGGTTTTTGCTATAGGGTGCATGCACTCACCAGAAAGACAGAGAGACAGAAAGCGAGACCCACTGGGTCTGGGACTCAAACCATAGTCGGTCATGTGAGAGTCCAGCAACGTAACTAACTATGCCATTTGCTGGCCCCTGTTCCTGTCAGTGAGTTCTTCACATACATCAGGACTATGGACTGTTAAATACATGCTGGACATCAATCCCTTGTTTTAATGACCGTGTTTAGCGTGCTCTTCTCAGTGGAGAGTAATTCTGAATAGGACATCTGTCTCTGTCTCCAGCAAGTTGCAGCTGTAGGATGCAGAGGAGGGAGGGGTGAGAGGAGGTATTCAGGCAAAGTAAATGACACATCACTTGAAAATTTGAGCTGCTGTCATCAGCCAGGGGACTTCCTTCAAAATCCCTAGCTTCCTTTTCATCTTAAATCTTCACATTCCTTCTTTCATGGAGATGTGTCAGATTTTCGTTAAAAACGTGGAACTGCGAGCTTTCTTTAAAGACAAGTGTCCTTCTGTGGAGGGCTGTGACAAGAAGCCATTGGCGTGTAAAGAGGCAGATCTCGGCAGAGGCTTTTTAATTGCTCAAGTATGTTCATGTGGAACAGAGTTCTCTAAAGCTCAGAGCACCATCGATCGTTGCCAGAATTATAAGACGGCATCCTTTAAAGACAGAAAGCACCTCGGGTTAGAAATGGTGCAAGTGAGAGGTTGATGGGTTCTAGGAAGTGAGTTTTCACTTACTAATTTTCAAAGATAGGTACAAATTACCTCGAGACAGAAGACAGAAGACTTATAAAAGAACTCCTGACCATTTCTTTCAGATAAGTCTTCGTCTTCCAGTAATTTGCCCATTGGATTGTTTGCTTAACAGAGGACAACGTTGGTAATTAATCAGTTTAGGGACCAATGGATAAGAGAGGAATGTGATAAACACGCTAAGCTGATTTAGCTAAACAAATATTTTAATGCTATTTCAGAAACTTGGTATTTGCCAGTATAGAACTTACTTTTAATACATAAAGATGCAGATGACCTTGGAAATGTGCTGCATTTTCTTGATAGAACACATGCCCATGCACAAGAGAAGCACCTTACCAGGTCTCCTCATGCCACTATCCCCTTTCCTCACCCTGCAGTTCTTCGGGCTCCTGACTGCCTGCATGTGCCTGGTGTGTTTTCAAGCGGACCTACAGACCCAGACCCACAATCACCATATGGCTTTTAGCCTTGCAGGACCCTTGTGTTAGCCACAGTGACTTGGCTAAAATATGCTTATTTTAATTGGCATTTGTGAACCTGTCTCTTTTTGAGTAATTTTGGTTTTTCTTTTTGGAGAGGTTTTTTCGCTATAGGGCATGTGCGCTTGCCAGACAGACAGAGAGAGACAAAGAGACAGAAAGCGAGAAATCACCCCCCAGGGGCGGGAGGCCACGCCGCAATCCCTTCTCCTCCATTCTCCTCTCGGGATCTTGGGCATGCACACACATGCGCCCGGCGTGAGTTTTAAGCCACCGGGTCTGGGACGCGAACCGTGGTCGACTACATGGGAGTCCAGCGACATAGCCATTATGCTAACTGCTGGTTCCCGGTTTTTCTTTTTTAATTGGCTAGAGGGTGCGTGTACTTGGAGAAAGACACCCTATCCATGGGGAATAGTCACTCCGCAATTTATTCTCCCGTATATCTTCCTTCGGAGATTTGTGAGATCTAGCTGCTTTAACCACCACACCAGGGGCTGGCCTGAGTAAGTTTTTTTTCTTTTACAGTTGGAAGTCTGTCTTTATTTATTTATTTTAAGAGAGATTCTTCTTAGAGGACATGTGTGCTCACCAGAGAGATAGAGAGAGGCAGAGAGACAGAAAGTGAGAAATTATCCCCTAGGGGGGCTGGCCATGCTGCAATCCCTTCTCCATTCTCCTCTCAGGACTTGGGACTTGCACACACATGCACCCAGCGTGAGTTTTAAGCCACTGGTTCTGGGACTCAAACCATAGTTATCTACATGGCAGTCCAACTACATAACCATTACACCATCTGCTGGTCCCAGTGGGAAGACTTTGAATCTCCACCTCCTTTGGTTGCAATATAGTTCTAAGAATAAACGTGCAAAAAAGAGGCAGATGGAGGTGTCTTAACTCCTAACATCTTTTCTTTTTCTCTGTGTGGATCAAGTTACCTTTTTTTTTTTTCTTAGAGAGGTTTTTGCTAGAGGGTGTGTGTGCTCACTAGACAGAGACAGAGAGACAGAAAGCGAGAAATCACCCCCGCCCCGAGAGGGGATGGCCATGTTGCAATCCCTTCTCCTACATTCTCCTCTTGGGATCTTGGGTTTGCGTGCACATGCACCAGCGTGAATTTTAAGCCACTGGGTCTGGGATGCGAACCGCGGTCGACTACATGGGAGTCCAGCAACATAGCCATTACGCTAACTGCTGGTCCCAGGATCAAGTTATCTTGAAGATATCATATAGAGGATGCATAGGGACCAGCAGATGACATAATGGTTGTGTTGCTGGACTCCCATGTAGTCGACCGCAGTTCGAGTCCTAGACCCAGTGGCTTAAAACACACTGGGCATGTCTGCATGAGTGCCCAAGATCCTGAGAGGAGAATGGAGGAGGAGGGATTGCGGTGTGGCCATCCCCCTGGGGGGTGATTTCTTGATTTCTGTCTCTCTGTCTCTCCAGTTAGCACACATACCCTAGAGCAAAAATTTGTCTCTTAAGAAAAGAGAGGATGAAGGGAACCAGCAGTTAGCGTAATGGCTATGTCTCTGGACTCCCACGTAGTCGACCGCGGTTTGCAATCAGACTTGGTGGCTTAAAACTCACGCCAGGTGCGTGTGCGTGCGTGCCCAAGATCCCGAGAGGAGAATGGAGGAGAAGGGATTGCGGCGTGACCATCCCCCCTGGGGGGTGATTTCTCGCTTTCTGTCTCTATGTCTCTGTCTGGCGAGCACACGCGCCCTATAGTGAAAACCTCTCAAAAAAAAAAAAAAAAGAAAGAAAAGAAAAAGAAAAGAGAGGATGCATATATGTGTGTAATGTGCTTATTTAAGCATGTTACCAAGTCAGTGGATTTTCACCTATACTGCTAAAAAAGAAATGCCAGAAAAAGGAAGATGAAGGGCATACATTTACAATTTTAACTGTCTCTTTCACCATAAAACTATTCACCATAAAAGCTATTCAGTGACTATCACACCTTGGCTCTCTATTCTGTTTTTTAAACATTTTCTTAATAGATGAGATTACAATGTCATCACCTCATTGTATCACAAAGCATTCAGTTTTGGGATGCTTCTCAACAAATGCTGCTTCTTATAAATAACAGGAAAAAAAATCCACAGACTTCCAAGATGGCGCTTATCGATATTAACAGCCTCATCGGCTGTCTATTCTTGAATATACCTATTGTGGTAAACTTTGAAAAGCTCTGAGTTATGTAATACTTGTGAGTTCTACTACATACTGCCTTCACTCTCTCCGCCATGTTTCTGAAGTTTATAGTTTTGCGGATTGTTCAGTTGTTTTATTTTTTTCTTCATGTTTTGTTTCCACCAGTGAGAAAGATATTTTTACATCATGTTGGAAGTAGAAACCTAATATGTAATAGCGACCCAACAGGAAACAGGCATTCATGAGGCTTTCCTGCTAGGATTACTTGGCAGTGATTTTTGGAATGCCATTCACTGTAACAGGCGTTTCTTGGGGCCTAAAACAGGCACCTAAGTAGTAGGACAATGAGTTTCATTGTTTCTGATAAAAAGGTCAGCAGTTGTTTTGTTAGTTGATAAGATATTGTATTTAAGATGACAATTAAAAAGCTAAAATGTCAGAGCATAGAAGGCCTGTGTATCCTTAAACATTCTGAGATACTGACTTATCAGGAGCTTCAAAGTAGGGGAAGAGTGGGAACCAGCAGTTAGCGTAATGGCTATGTCGCTGGACTCCCACGTAGTTGACCGCGGTTCACGTCCCGGACCCGGTGGCTTAAAACTCACGCCGGGTGCGTGTGCGTGCGTGCCCAAGATCCCGAGAGGAGAATGGAGGAGAAGGGATTGCGGCGTGCCCATCCCCCCTGGGGGGTGATTTCTCGCTTTCTGTCTCTACGTCTCTCTCTGTCTGTCTGGCGAGCGCATGCGCCCTATAGCGAAAATCTCTCCAAAAAAAAAAGTAGGGGAAGAGTAAAGAGTATGAATATGAATAAAGGATGCAGAATGTGACATGGTGGATATCTTCTGAAAATTATTGTTAAATAAATAAAATGTACCAAGAGAGATCAACTAATTTTTATGGTTTCTTTGGTTAATATAAAGACTCTTCAAAGATCAGTGAGTAATCTTGAATTATCTGTGTAACTGGGCTGCTGTTTTCAATGTCCAGTGGTGAAATTGCATAATTATTGACTGACCGATCAAAAAGAAATGAGGCAGTACTTATTTTTCAAAAAGAGAGAAAATCAATAATGTGACAATATTTCTATCCCTTGTCTCATACAAAGGTTGGTCTCTACGTAAGAAACTATTTCCAATTCGTTGCACCCTCATCTTCAACATGAGGCAGCCTCGTTTTAGCTGTGTGTTTGATCTCCATCATCCTTGGCATTGGTCTTTACTCTGTTCAGCAGTGTAGGTGTGCTGTCTCGCACTTCCCTGTTTTCTTAACTGTCTCATTTTCTTCATGAGTTCATAATTTTACGAATGGTGGCAAATGTCCTATGTAAGGTCACAAAGGATCACTTCATCTGTTTTTCTTTTAAAGAATCATTTTATTTAACTTTATTGATTATTATTATTAATTTGACCAGGGAGAGAGAGGGAAAGTGAGAAAGCAAGCCGCCAGGTCCAGGACTCGAAATGCAGTTGGCCATGTGGGAGTCCAGAGCCTTTATCTCTCATGCCCGTGCCAGCCCTGTATTTTCTTCAGCACTGTGTAGGAAGAAAGTTTACAGGACAAAGATGGTGACTAGTGTAGTAGCACAAAAAACAAGACACCGATTAGCATTATGTAGTTTTGATACATTTGGGGCTCACCAAAGCAGTGTCCTTGATTTTCTCACCTGGTCATGGGAAGAAATAAATGAATGTGAGTACTAATTCGAGGATAGCCCTAGCACTGAGACCCAGTAGGACAGCTAGAGATTCAAGAGGCTTTAGTAGGCAGTGTACTCCCTTGGAGATGGGAGCAAATATGGAGCTCGTAAGGAAGGTAGCAGCAAGTCCTGCCTCACTTCTAGTTCTCTGCTTTGCTGAGCTCTCCTCCTAACTTTGGGGAAGTCACTTCCATCTCTACATATTACAGCTTCCTTATCTGTGTAACCTCGTAGTTCTTTCGTTGTAAGATAATCTAAATTTGTACATTGGAGTTGGTTTGTATGAGAACCTAACTGCTGAGGATGGCATAGTCTCGGAGAAAACGCATCAGAATTCCAACCAAACCATTGCAAAACTGCTTTTAGAATTCACATGACCCTGGATGCTGTAAAACGCTAGACCTGCGGCTAGTTTATAAGTCAGGACATTCTAGAACCAAAGTGTGAGTAACCCATTTCTGTGCTGATTATTCACAGACCCCCGAGAGTATAAGTGAAGAACAGAGGATCCAGGAATTGGCCGCAATGGAAGACACCCGACTAGTAATTCTGAACAACCTTGAGGAACTTGAAAAAAAAATCAAAGACATAAATGACCAGATGGATGAATCATCCAGAGAGGTATAAACCCTAAGTTCACCTGTTTTCTTTGTCTTTTAGCTTAAACATATTACTGCTCATTAGGATACAGGACTCAGAGACCTAATACTTAGAAGTCAGCATGAGGAAATATTCTTTTTGATCACATGAGATGAACATATTAAGCCAGCTTTCATGTGGTTTCTGTGTAGCTGATTCGGTCTTCGCTAGCATGTACTTTCTGAGCTGCCATAGAATCTGTCAGCTGAGGTACCCTGTATTTAGATGTTTAAGTTCATTCAGAAGTAACATTTTCTGAGCATGCTTACTGTGAATTGGATATCATGTTGAACTATGGGGAGGACTCACACATGGCTAGAACACAGACCCGGAGTCTTAGAAACAGGGAACAATGAGACACATATTCTATAACTGTAAGAGAGGACAGTGGTGATCCTGATGTTACCTCTGTGGAGTGAGAAAGACCACAGATTCCAGTCGGGAGGATCTGTGTGTGTGTGTCCTCACAGATGGTGCCAGGGCATGAGTGGTAAGGATACTGCTCACCTGTTGTCTTGTACACGAACCCTGGGAGCCCCTCCTTCTAGCATTGCTAGGAATGCGGAGCGTGCATGCTGGGCTGGGGAAGCCTCTCACGCTCTAGGGACAAAGAAAGACGTGGCTTCTCCCGAGGTGGTTCATGCTTGAGCCTGAATGTAAGCAAAAAGGCAAAATATCCTTGAGAAGTAAGAAGAAAAGGGGTGATAGTAGAGAAGTTCATTGGTAACTAAATTTCTTAGGGAAAATACAAGAACGCGTCTGTCTAGCTTTCTGGTGTGGAAATCTTGAGTCTTACATGGGGTCTCTGAAGTGTTCTCTAGGCCCCACAATCTGGCTGAGATAGTAAAATTCTTTTTGAAATTTGTAGCAGTTAAAAATGCACTTCTAAGTGCGCAGTTGAGAATGTCCCCAAAAGCGAAACACTTCTGAGCTTTGTTTTGTGTCCTTAGTTGGATATGGAATGTGCTCTTTTGGGAGGAGAACAGAAATCTGAAACAGCTGAACTTATGAAGGAGAAGGAGATTTTGGATCATCTAAACCGGAAAATAGCAGAACTAGAGAAGAACATTGTTGGTGAAAAAACTAAGGTAAAAGAAAATTCTACTGAATGGGATTTGTATGGGCAAAATGGTGGTCCCAATTGATTGAATTGAAATGTTAAGTAGAACCAGCATAGTTTAGGGTTTATGTACCATGTTTCTGGAGACGGTGGCACTAGAGAAAAGTCCTAAGATCATATGGTGTCACAAACTAAGAATGTCAGGTACTGGGCAACGGAGGCTGAGAGAGATGAGCCCAGGACGTCTGCGAGCTGATACTTATTGCAGGTTTTCTTACTTGAAATGAGTGAGATGAGTGAGTGACTTTTTTTTTTTCCATCTGTCTTTCTGCTCCTCTGATTCCACTGTGGTTTTTAAATAGTTTTTAGCATGCTAAACTTCTTACTGTCAGTGTTCCCGAGGGATGACTTAAGCATATTCATACAGGGTTTTCTCATTTTTTTCTCCTTTTTTTTGTATGTTAAACAGATGAATGAAAACTATTCATCTCACCTGTCTTGCCTGCTATTTCTTCAATACAGGTGCACTGCTCTTTGAAAAATGCTTTGATGTTTTCAGGGATCCTCGCACCTTGCCAAGTAAAACCCATCAGTGAAGCACAGTTGGTGCTTAGCTTGAAGATGGTCTCGCTTATACATTTCAGGCTACAGCCTCCATGTTAGCTGACCTCTAGGAAAAGTACATGCCAATTTTAGAATTCAAGGTGGTAGTTGGGGTTTTGATTTGTCTGTTTATGTGTTTTCTTACCTCAGTGAAATTTTAGGCATGACTCTGCCATTTTGACCTACTGGCAGCTGAACTAAGCTGAAAATTAAAAATAAAATTCTGAATTGGGAAAGAAAAAAGCAAATGAGCTTTCATAAAGTCTTTCCTGCTAACCGTGTTCCCGACTAAGCTGAGAGAAAGAATGTTCCGTTTACGTAAGTTCTAGCGCTGATGTGTGGGAGGAATTTCTTCTGAATGTGACTTCCTTTTTAGGCTCGTATTGGTTCGTGGCCTGCAAATAAGGGCATTTGATCTCGATGCCAGATAATGAGCTCAAAATGATATTGTCATAAATGGAAGTCATTGAAAGCTATACGTCAGTTCCTTGGTTATCTGCATCTCAAAATTAAACCACACAGCTTTTTCATATTAAATTGTAAGTATGTTCACTCTGCATCCAGACTTTGAAATAGTCAAGAGTCTGTTTGGGTAGTGCTATGGTTTTCTTTAGAAACTCGAAACCAAGTCAAGGGGATGATGGTATAAATCTGCAGGCCTGGAGGATTCCGTTAATGACTTACAGTCTTTAAAGACTGTTCAGAAGCAGCAAGAAATTTTCCTGGGAGGGAGCAGATGTCTTGTCTTGTTACTTGTTAGTCCTTTACTATGAAGCAAATGCTAATTAAACTGAGTAATACAATAGTAATCGTAGTATTATTTACATCATCTCGGAAAACTTGGGCAACGTAGGAATGGGCGTGTCTCCTGCAAACCCTTCTCCCTTTATCCATGCAGTTATTTATCTCTGTAGTTATTTATCTCTGTAGTTACTTATCCTATATGGCGTGACCTGTAAATTCTGTTTGTCTGCCTGTCCTAACATCAGATTCGACACTCAAGTGAAGCAAGTTGAGTGAGTTTAAACCTCACTTCCCAGGAAAGTTGTTTTATCCTGCAGAGACCTAAGGCAGGGGTGGCACTCTAGGAGAATGGGCAGAGACATCCAAGATGCCACCTGTACCCTTTTTATTGCTTTTGGGTGGCTGGACAGAAGCTATGCATAGGAAAAGGGACTGTAAGGGCTTGCAGTATAGGATCACGCAGCTGTTAGAGGATTAGCTGGGGTTAGAAGGTGGGATTATTGTCTGTCATCACTTGGTGTGAAAAATGACAAAAACTGACTTTGGGTAAGAGGTGCTAGGAGAGGGAAGTAGAAACAAAGACTGGGCTGGATGATGTTTCTGTCTTATTCTTGACAGCCCCATTCAAATAGAGATTGGATCCAGCTTGAGAGTATTATTACCTTTCTCAAACAGACTTCTTCTGCCTTTTATGATATAGCTATTTCATGCCTTTGCTGTTTAAACCTTTGGCTCACTATCTTCCTGCTGGCTCAGGATGGGCTTGCCACCTGCTTCGCTGAGAAATTAGAAGCATCCCTTTTTCTCGTTTCAGGAGAGTTTCTTCTTCCATCAAAGCCCAGTCCCTCTGAATGTGCTCTGGGTATCACCCCACCCCACCTTCTCAGTCTTCAGTCCTCTGTGCCTCTCTCTCACTCACCAGTTTCTCCCTCTCTCCTGGACCTTCACTGTCCACATGCCAACATTATTACTTTAAAAACCATTGTTACTTAAAATTAAACTATCACCTTATTTTAAAAATAAGAGACTACCATAGCCTTCTTTTCTTTATCATTGCTAAACGTTCAATTTTCCTAGTACACAGTGCCTCCCCTTCCTCATCCCAGTTCACTGTTCTGCCCATTCCACTGGGCTTAGTCCTCCACTTCCTCATCAGACTTGTTCTGTTAAGATTACCAAGGACTGGGACTAACAGATGGCATAATTGGGTATGTTGTTGGACTACTGTGTAGTTGACTGAGGTTGGAGTCCTGGACCCGGCAGCTTAAAGCTCACGCTGGGCTCATGTGCATGCATGCCCAAAATCCTGAGAAGAGACTGGAGGAGAAGGAATTGTGGCATGACCATCCCCCCCGGGAGGTGATTTCTTGCTTTCTGTCTCTCTGTCTCGCTCAGTCTCTCCGGCAAGTGCACACACCCTATAACAAAAATCTCTCTTAAAAAAATTAAATAAAATAAAAAGATTACCAAGGACCTCACTGTGACCTAACCCACTAGCTGCCTTCCAGTCCTCTTGCAGTGAGACCCCTGAGCAGTGGACAGTACAGAAAACAACTTTTTTTTGGCCCTTCCTGCCTTCTCCCCTCATCTTTGCCTCTGTGTTGCATGTCTTCCTGTTTTCCTTATCTTTCTGGCTATTGGCTAGACATCTCTGACATGAACCCAGTGTTCTTATTTCTTCATGTTCTCTTACAGCCAAGGCTTCAGGGAACCTGCATGTGCTGGTGACTCTCATAGGGTTGTCTCTAGCCCGCAACGCTTTTCTGAACTTCTGGTGCACATCCTATAGCCTGTCTGACCTCTCCACTCAGATGCTTCACAGGTATTTCCAACTGAACACACCGATTCTGAATTCTGAGTCTATCCTCCCCCCTTTCCTTCTGTCCTCCCTCCCACCCCGCCAATCCTCCAGTTTTCCCAGTGAAGGAAACTGCATCTCTGTCCATCTGTTTGCTCAAACGCCTAGAAGCAGATCTTGAACATCTCTATGATCCAGTTGCTCACCAACATATTTCTTAATTACTTTAGCATCGCTACATCTCCACTAATAGCGTTTTCTTCTAAACCATCAAAATCTCTTTTTTAGCCTAATATCCATTTCATTCCCTTCAATCCAGCCTCTCCATAGCAGCCAAGGTGATTTCTAAAAAGACAGAAATAAGATCTGAGCTAGCTCCCATGGCCTGGTGGTTGACAGAGCCTGGTCCCTCATGGACGACAACATGGTTCAAATTCCAGCCCTGGTGACTTGAAAACCACACTGGGTGCACATGTGTGTGCATGCCCAAAATCCTGACAGGATGGAGAAATGGAGGAGGAGATTTTGCAGTGTGATCACACCATTTGAGGAAGTGCTTTCCCTTTCTTTCTTTCTGTCTCTGTCCTTCTCTGGCCAACACATGTGCCTTGTGACAAAAAAATGATGTAGAAATAAGATTGTATCATTCTGGTTTGTGTCCCACTGTACTTTATATCTACCTACATTGCTTACTGTCATTTCTGCCAGCCTTTCTCTCACCACCCTCCCCATTCTCCACTCAGCTATCACCATGACCTTGTATTCTGTCAAAAGACCTACCCCAACTCCCACCTTTGCCTTTCCTTTGCAGGTACTGCTTTCCCAGCCTGGAATTCCTTACCCCACTTTCTGTGCCTTGTGGCTTCTGTCTTTCAGTGCCAAGGTTCAATATCATTCTGTGCCTTGTGGCTTCTGTCTTTCAGTGCCAAGGTTCAATATCAGTTTCTCAGAAAAGCCTTCCCAAGGGCCAGGCAGCAGCATGGTGGTTAAGGTGCTGGATTCCACATGCCTGACTATGCCGTTCGAGTCTTGGATCCAGTGGGCTAAAAAACGTGGCAGGGGTTTGAGTGTGTGTGCCCAAAATCCTGAAAGGAGAATGGAAGAGAAGGGATTGCAGAAGGGCTGACCCTCATGGGGAAGAATTTCTCATTTTCCTTCTCTCTCTATCTCTCTGCCTTTCTCTTCTGTGAATGCATGTGCCTTATAGCAAAACCAGAAACAAAAACAGAAACAATAACAAAAAGAAAAGCCCTCCTGGATCTTTCCAGATCAGATTATGTTTTCCCTGTTGTTCTTTTATCATTTTATTGATAAATGTCACATTTTATAATTGCATTTGTTTGGGGCTTATGAGATACTTATTTTCCTCTCTAGCCTGTGAGATAGAAAAAGGCACTATTTTTCCTGCTTATAGTAGGTGACGCTATTCAGTGTGCTTTGGGAGTCCTGCTAACAGCTAGTCCAGGCTGGGCCTTAGCTGAAACACTGAGCCAAACACCTGCCAAAGAGCTACATGCGGCCAAGTTTCAGGACAGCTGGGCTGGGCTGCCCAAGTGCACATGCCAGTGAGCCCAGAATCGTGCTGCCCATCAAGCCAGGGTGTAAGACAGAAGGAGGAAGTGGCCTTTGCCCTTTTGGATCACGTTTCCTTTTCCATACACCTGTTGCTGGGGTCAGATATAAACTATGGAATGAGAAAGGCAAAACCTGACAAGATAGCCGGTTGGGCCAGCTTCAATTCACACGTAGCTAGTATATCCGGTAAGCCTGGCCCTAGTTTTTTGGAAACAAAGCCTGGCACCATAGGAAAAAGATTTCATAACACCACAGAGTTCAGATCTTGGTGTGAAATTCTTGAGATTGTTTCCTTGGCTCTGGAGACC